AAAAAAAAAAAAAGAAACGTCAAATGGAAAACGTTATCGCGCAGGCACTTGAACATCTTGGTAAGAGTGGCACAAACTACTCTTCTACTCAGCGAATAAATATCTAAGAGAGATCTTTAAAGCCACTTTTGAAAGCATTTACGTGCTGAAGAATCGTAATAAACCCCCGTTTTTGTAGCTTTTAAAACGAAAGAGATTTTTACAATGCAAATTTTCTTGGATTTTTAACCGATTCCATCCCCCCCTTCGACCCTTCTTCTCTGGGAGGAGGAGGGGGGACTAGATTTTCATTGCCACCACCCCAATTCTCAGGGTACTTCTCAGTGATAAGAATTTTCTTTTATATCGTACAACAGTGGGCGAGGGGTGTTGGGGGAGAGAAGAAACTTTTTCTTTTTCATATTTATGAATAAATTCGTCGAACATTCAAATTAAAATGAGCTATACAAGCGAACAAATAGATGAAATTATTTATTTATCTATAAAAATATTAATCGATTATAAACATACGGTTAATTGGAATTATGAGTTGACATTAATTTAATCGTAATTATCTTTCTCCAATCTTCTTCCCCTCCTCACCAACACCAACACCACCACCACTAACACCACCACTACCACCAAAACGTATTTCCATTAATCCGATTTATGGTATGTTACATAATATATAGGATGAATTTGAGTTACAAAGCAATTCCGATAATCGTCATTTTCGTATCCTGTATTTATCTTTCATAAAATTATCTGAACATATTATATGTGTTTAATCCGATCTTTGTAACGAAAGTAAGAACAATAATTTATATACAAATGAAAATAATAGAAATATGTCGATCGATTAATTAACAGTAAACGACGTTTGCAAAACTGCAAAAAATAAATTCAAGTAAAAATCCTTTGAATGAACACAACAATTGTTTAATTAATATATTATGTATTTAATATTAATTAATTTAGTTCAATATAAAAGAAAAGTTGCACTTCGTGAAACACTTCTCAACCTTATATCCATCCTGCAAATTATAATGTATTTTTCAACAGTACCATGAAATCCTAATTATTGTAAAAAAAAAAAAAAAAAAAAAAAAAAAAAAAAAAAAAAAAAAAAAAAAAAAAAAAAAAAAAAAAAAA